CACTTACAAAGCTCTAGTTTCGTAGACGGATTAATCACACAAGTCCAAACTTTTAAGTTACTGCATTAGTTGTACTTTACGCTCATTGTGCGTTTCAAACAAAGCCTCTTACTATGAAACAGAAATCAGCATAGTTGTGGTCTAAGTTGATTAGTTACAGTGTGAAGTATGTTGTGTTTGGAACTCAACTTTAAATATTACTAAAACAGTAAGTTATAGGAGAGAATATAATAAAAACGGAAATAAAATTTTTTTTCTTACTAAGAATGAAGAATATACTGAGACATCTAGTGGCCAAGATAACATTTATTAATCAGCTTCTGTGGGAACGATTAAAACGTTTTCATTGGTATGTTAGAAAGTATAAGATGACTTAGAAAATAACAGTGATTTGGGTTTCCAGTGCTAGATAATTGTTCATTAACCAACAACAAGCCCCGATTTTAGGCATGATTTTAATGGTGGAAAAGAAACTAAACCTTTTGTTTCGCAAGAATCCCTTTCGAAATCACTCGGGTTAGAGGGTTTTTATCATTTTATATCTGTACAGTTATGTTTTAAGTGTTAAGTGTTTTGCAGAAGCAATATATAAAGCCTCAAACTAGTAATTCACGTCGTTAAAGTCGAGACCGGAAAGCTGATTTTTTTTGGTGTGTTAAAAATCTTAATTTATGTGGTATAAATTCTAATTAAGCATATTAAATCTTGTATCTTCTTTTTCTATGAACCACAAATAGGTTTTGGATTCTTATATTACAGAAACCAATGTTATTATATGTTATAATATCAAAATGCTTTTCAAACTATGTGAGCCAACAGTAAAAAGACTGAAGGCAATAAAATACCATAGAAATATTCAAGAATTCTTGATACCATGCGTCACGGTATCTGATTGGTTATTGAACCAGTTTACTTGATTTGCTAACACAGCTTCACGTTTCGCGGTGAATCCATATGTAGAACTTACTTGCCTTATTTTAAAAATAATGGATTTTGAATATTCAGCACAGGATCTTAAAAGACTTGTTTGAATGATTTTCTACCGGCCTACGCCGAAGTAAGACGTTTGAATATGCATACTTTCACGAAACTCGACGCCTGCGCAAGAGAAAACATTAAACGTGTTTAAAACCCATTTTATTACAGAACAGTTGGGAAAGTGGATATCATTACAAGCGAGAATTCAAGGTTAATGGCAGAGAATGAAAGCTGCGCCTTAAATAAAAAGAAAAAAATTGAACATGATATCGTAAATACTCCACGTACACGTTCTCGCCCTCACTTGGTCCAAATCATTTGTAGAAGAGGAAAGGACATAACGAATAAGACTACTCTACTAGCTGTGTTAGAAGACTCGAATTTTTACAATGTTTATGATAACCTCACATTTCGTAACTAGGCGACAGGCAGCAAAGGTATCGAGTCCGACTAATTTTGACTATGCTCTAGTTTTGTCTTAACCATAGTGTAAGATTTGACTAAAAGGAATGTTGAATTATTCTGTCACGGATATAATGGTTTTTTTTTTTATTAATCTATGTTAGATATTGGAAACACCAAACCTTACATATTCTCATATTAGAACTTGCTGATTACATGTCCAGAGAAGCAAGTGGCGCCATAAAAACAATTTACAAGTAAAGTATTTCTGTCGATGTTTATTTTCCTTTCCGTTTTGATTTCTGAAAGTTATCTTGCGTACAAAGAAACAAACAGACGTCACCCTACACTTAGTGTGGATTAATACTACTTGGTGCATTCACACTTAACTGGTCGAGGGAGGGTGTTACTGTTTTCAATCAGCACGTAAAGTGAAATGGCTAAATTTTAATAGCTACGTCAACATGAATAGTTCTACAATAAAAGCTGCGAAAGCGCCATCTACTAAATGACAATGTAGAGAAGTTTTTATTTATTTATTTTTCTAATTCGCGCAAAGCTACTCAAGAGCTAGCCGTCCACTAATTTAGAAGTGAGTAGAGGGAAAGTAGTTAATCAACACCGCCAACTCTGGGGATACTATTTACCAATGAATAGTGAAATTGCCTGTAACATTATAACGCCCCTACAACTGAAAGGCAAACACGTTCGGTGATTGGTTTCGAATCTGGGACCCGCTGACTACGAGTCGAGTGCACTAGGCCCGAAGTATAATACAAAGTCTGCCTGCTAATAAGTTCAGGTTGCAACGAACATAAGTTTATTAATACAAGACAAAACACTAATGGGTCAGTGGGCTATTCAGCACAAGGAACTTCTGCGCATACGCACAGAAAAAGGTATATGTAAAGTATACAAGATAATACCAACTTGTAACAGTATTGTCAGTTCATTTTCATTTTGTTTTTTAGCGGTAAAAGAAGTTGCATAATTTAATTTATACTATATGGCACGTTACTGAGTTCAAGTCATGTCTGACTTTTTTAAACTGTTTGCTATTAATAGTAAGTTTGCGTTAAGCCGTTTATACTCATATATTAACATGATTAACGTACATGTGACCTTATGTAGGGCTGTAAAGATTCTTGGGCATTAAGAAAGAGGTGTGGATGCCTAACAAAAACTAATCCTGCCTTGTCACAAATTAAGAAAATATAAGGCGTTAACCCCGTCTTGTCGATTTCAATAGACGTGGGTCATTAGTCTGGTATAATGAACAATAATTTTTCAGAAATATAAGCCAACCTGAAAATGACTTTACAAGAACGTTGCATAAAATATTACAGATAGATGGCAGCATAAGCCACTTTAAATTCCTGTATTCGTAATTCTCAGTTATCATTCAGTAAGAGTCAAAAGAACTAAACCCTAAAAACCAATATTATATTTTTCTGCAGAGAAGCTCCATTCCAGTAACCCAAAATGTCTTCATTTTCTCTGTAGATATAATATGTCCAAACTGTTGTCTACTCTCACAGATATTCCCAGTAGAGCTCAAAGGCTTTTGAGGAAACTCAACCAATATCATCGATAGCATACGAAGAGAAAATATTCTTATACTAAGTGAATATACGTACAGATTGTCCAAATTCACGCAGAACGGAATAAACACTGATTTACTTTAGTCGGTGGATTTCTTGAACTTATAAAAATTTGGATATGGATTTATGATTATTAAAAATTCATGGTTGTTTAGAATAACAGATATGGAAGTTACACGTGTGATTTTTGCTCAAGAAATTAGAAATTATTTTTACTATTAATTCAACATGAAACAAACATCAAATCATAATGAACATTCCGATGACAGACCCAAAAATGTCGTACACTGAAGCCCCAATCGTATAAACATTTTTAATCGGCATATTCGGTAAACAAATAATTAATGAAAATATTCCATTGTTAATAATATGATGTTACGTGTACATATCCTGTGAAGTGTGAATAATGAGTTGTTAACAACCTCTCTGCAACACTCGGCAAGATCAAATCTCCGATATATTAAAACCCAGTCTGTGAGTCAATGAAAACGAACCCGGGGGATTAGGTGGGCTACTTGTTATTGAAGAGGCTCAACCTGTTAACATAAAAAATATAAAAACTTACTGCCCAAAGAACTCTCCTCTCGATATAGTTCGGCCACGAAGATGCGAAGTTGTTTAGAGTTTTGGTCGACTGTGTTCCTCTTACAAAAAGAATAGTACAATACAAGTATTCATGTTACGGAAGGTACCATACTTAACCACCTTACAGCGGCAAGTAAGTTTTGTTGAGCTGTCCTCGGCCATCTTTTTCGACAGAATTTACTAAAACCGCGGATAAAATGGTTTTATATAGCCGAGGAACCAGATCTAGTATTACCCAACATTTGCGGTCACTACCGTGTTTAGTGTAAGTTTTGGGGTGGAGGTATGGGTTTTACCTCCTCAGAGCCTGGAAACTTGCGCGAATTCGGCCACTCTGGTGGGCAGTTCAGATTCCGGACATCGCAAGGAGTTCAAACCTCTGTTCCGAATTAAAAAGAAAAGAGAGAGTGTGTGTACCGGAAAACTTTGGAAATCAAACACCTCACAGACTAGGTGTTAAGGAGAAATAGGATCACATATTGATTTGATAGAACAGATTTCAAGCTGAATTGAATAGTCTTTAGGAATGCACAGGCTTGTTATAGATGTCGTTACTTCCAAAATAACAACATTCAATTTGAATGTGCTATTTAATAAATTTGATAAATAATTCAATACATGAAAAAGCCAAAGACACAAGTAGAAGTAATTATGGCAACAATTTGTATATCACAATATGTAACATTATTACACTCCTCTGTACAATACTTATCTCTTCGAAATAGTGCAAAAACAACATTAACAACGAGAATAGCTATTTAAATTACAGTAGGCAACTATCACAACGGTAACTCAAAATGCTACCAGCTTAAAACCTACGGCACAGACAGGTAACAGCCACTTGCTTCAACGCCAAACTTCACACCTAACTTTCTATATACAACTTTTTTTAGAGTAAAACTAGGGAAAAAACGCATTTTTGAACTGCAGTAATCATAAATTAACATCTGTTTCATGCTTCAGTTCAATCCAGTCATCGTTCTGAAACACTGTATTACAGTACTTTATATATATATATATATATATGTAATGTCCCAAAAGTGTATATCTTATTCTACATCGTTTACTTATAAGCTTTTTGATCCTTAAAGGAATTGTTTTTGATTTCCAGTCATTGTACAAAATTTTAAAAATTAAATAAAAACTAACAGAAATACTAAGAAATTGTTTTTCATTTTTCTTTCATTTGAAATTCGTTTCACTTTGTGGTAAAATTCAAGTTTATATCATCATGCACGACTCAACTGTCTTCATTCACTTCTTGCGTATTTCGATCAGACTTACGTTTTTAAAAAATAACACTTTCAAACTTGGTGGAACCAACCGTCAACCAGAAAGAAGGCAAGCGAAAGGAGGAAAGAGTTTTATCATAAAGCTTGTTTTTTTTAGCTGCGGCACATGCACATTAGATATAGATATACAAGGTAGAACCTGCATATAAGAAGAGATCGCAATAACAAGGTTCTGCCACCAGTTGTCATGGAAACAAATATTCGACGGTCATAGAAACGAAAGATAGACATCATTTCAGGTAATGGAGTAGAAGTGCTGAAGAAAGTCGTCTGGCAGGTCGTAAAAGACCTGACTTACATGAAAAGCTTTTCGTATCATCAAGAGGTCTTCCAGAGTTACGGGATCTCCCTTGTGACACCAAGCCATCAGAGAACTGCTAGGGACTTGGAACAGGAGCCTCTGGACTTCTGGCACCGAGTACTTCAAATGTGCGACCCACACGGGGAACATCACTGGTTGCATCAAACTGTATTCTTTCACTAAACTGATCATCTTGTCAATCTGTTCTCTGGTGAGCCTAAAGAAGATATATGCTTTCAACTTTAAAAAACACTGCTTCTCAAACCTGCTAGGTTAGTTTTTAGTTAATATAGAAATTGAATAATTCTTTGGGAGTTATAAAATGGCTTGTTTATGTATTGTTAGACATCATAAATAACAGATTCTAAAATACGTAACATAGAACCTATGTTAGTTACATTTATTTATTTTAAAACTTAAAACATGGAAGTCAATCTTTTGAAGTCGCTATAATTAAAACTTATACTATTTTCTTACTTTTGTGTTAGACAGAAAAAAAAAACTCCTAAAGATGTGTAAGAAACAAAAGATGAGCTAATTTGGGCAGATAACACAGGCCTGCGATGGTTTTATTGTCTTGATACTTTTACCTGTTCCACAGTAATTCCTGTTCGCTGAATCCGAAAATGATGTCAATTTTTCTCCATCACGTAGAAATTTTTGACAAAACATCATAACGCAATACATAAAAGAAAGACCACAACACGTAGTTTCGAGACTAAAAGACATAGATTTCACAAAAAAATCTGAGTTAATGAGGATGCATATTCGTTTGACATCAGTGTTCTTCCCTTTTCTTCAGTTTATTTGTATTTTTGTTAACAAACATGATAATGGAAAAATATTCATTTTTGTAAACGAAACAATTGGATCTAATTAAGAGTGTTTTTTTCTTCCCGATTTGTAAAATATCCTTACAAGATAGAAAAAAAATGATATTATTTTCGAAATCTGCGTAGCTGAATTATGGAAAATCCGTTATTAAAACCAAAACAACATTTATGAAGTTTAAATTCGCAGGCCAGTGTTATTATTCTATTCCATTACCTTAACAATCTCTGTTTAACAAATATGAACAACGTTTCGGACACATGCACAAGAAAACTAGTTGTTTTTAGAAACCAATTTTTATTATTCATGAAGCATGTAAAGATATTATTTAGATAAGAATAATTCTAAAAGAATGCTTCTGGTATTGGCTACATAAGAAACAAGAGGGAATCCACAATAGCCGCGGCACTTCAAATTATTTTAGGCAGAATTGGAGTAAATTAATCTATGAAACCTTTTTTTTGTTTCCTTTTATTAGCTGGCCAGGTGGTTAGGGCGCATGACTCGCAATCTGCGGGTTCGAATCCCCGTCCCACCAAACATACTCGCTCTTTCAGCCGCGGGCGCGTTTTAATGTGACGGTCAGTCCCACTATTCGTTGGTAAAAGAGTAGCCCAAGAGTTGGCGGTTGATGTTGATGACTAGCTGCCTTCCCCCTAGTCTTTCACTGCTAAATTACAGCTAACGTAGATAGCTCTCGTGTAGCTTTGCGCAAAATTCAAACCAAACCCTTTTTATTAGCTGTTTTTATTGACCAGCAATACCAAACGTGGGGCGCGCGTATACCCTATTCGATTTTATTACTCATCAGGATTCTACCAGCCTACCCTCAAATTGAAATTATTTTAGGCAGGATTAGAGTAAATTAATCTATGAGACCTCGGACGTGATCAAATGCATCATTCGAAAGAGTTTGACCTCCTGAGTCCAAAACTGTAACTATAACTCAAATCGGTCAATAGATGACGGAGATATGAGCTATAAAGATTGTACGTGCAAAAAACTCGGAGCCATTCTATGAGCTGCTATCCCGTGGCTAATTATTGCTAGTAAAATATTTTTTACTGATGTTTTGATTTCTAAAGTCAACTAATTAAAAACTAATTCAAAAAAATTCGTATGGTTAGAAACAAAGAGAAAGCATGTAGAAGAGTGAAGTAAACGAAAAATAATTTATCGTATTATATATACGATAAATAAAAAACCCGAATATGAATATACGACAGTTTTACGTAGAACAGACCAAAAAAAAGAGTGAAGAAAATGGAAAATAACTTATCGTATTATATATACGATAAATAATAAACCCGAATATAAATATACGAGAGTTTTACGTAGAACAGACCAAACATTTTAAATATTTCTGTTTCTATTATTCGTAAACACTCAACACTATACTCATACTGACAAGTTCTAACTCCCGGATCATCAAACTATAAACACATAATTAAAGTTTGTACAGATATCACGCACTTACGAAGGGGTTTAGATCGAACCCCCTATTTTTGTAATTTAAAAATATTATACTTATATAGTTGTAGCGCAGCTACTTGTGGTACAAGAAAAGAAAACTTTTCATAAAACGAAGTAAATGTAGAGATGGCTGATATCAATCCTTCAAAAACAAGGCAAACTCCTCCTTTCAAATATACTGCGCACGGGCCTGTTTGTTTTTTGAATTTCGCGCAAAACGACACGAGGGCTATCTGCGCTAGCCGTCCCTAATTTAGCAGTGAAAGGGCGAGCATGTTCGGTGTGACGGGGATTCGAACCCGCAGATTGTGTGTGTATATATATATATTCAATTTTTTAACTAGTTACTCTATTACTCAAACTTCCTGTGCTGAGGTTGATTTTGTTACAGTTTCCGAGAACTTAAATCTCTAAATCATTTGTATTACTCATTTCAGCTACAAAAAATGACCAACCATTTTTTAATTTATGTCCTGAACTGACAATAGATGGCTGTTTCCAGCAACTTTGATAAACATTATTGCAATGCGACTAAAACATAAATTAACTTACCGACAGCAGCTGTTTCAATGTGTTTGGTGTTTGTTTCAATTACTTGTTAAAATAATAATCACAGTTTTATTACCTATAGGACAATGGCTCACCCTAGTTTGATGCACCCTCCAGGCATGACCTCGACGACCTCGCTACACGTTGTCCACCCGATAGATATGACAGAGCGAGGAAAACGGGTTCTGCATAAAGTTAAAAAAGTCCAAGCGTCCACCGGCGGAGTAATGGGGTTGTTAGGGCCTGGTAGAATGTCGGCGTTTAGTATCAAAGGTCCCCGAATCTGGAACCAGAAAAACAATTTAATCTGGTTATTGATAGTGTAATTTGGCAACGGTTTACTGTGGATTTTCCAATATGTTCTTATTCTACTATATTTCCTGTATTCAGAGGACCAGTTGTAATAATGATAACAGTTAATTTCTTTTTATTCGCAACAAGATGTTATGAAATATGAAATTAGTTCACATTCTTTTTCAGTCATCACATTAAACTTGTTTCATTATGTTTAAAACTATGCATGCCCTTCAGAAGGAACTTTGATATGTAACTAATTATATTTATTATTTACGTAATTATTGTTAAATCATAACAACTGATTTTAATTCCTGCAGTACATATTGGAGTATGCACCACAGTAAAGATAAAAAAACGAAGAAGTACACATATATATATAATGAACGAAACAATAGATCAGAGACTTTCATAACAAATGGTAATAACGACCGAAACAACATATCAACAGTAAAAAAAAAAAGGTAACAATAGAAAATGACTTCATGATCTCTAATTTTTCCTTGATCTTGCTAATTAAAGGATCTGGTTTCGCAGTAACAACTAAACTTTCCGACCAAGTATGTTTAAACACAATGTCTTACGGAAAAAAATATATTTTCATTTGATGGAACAATTTCTATGAAAATAGAGAAAAGATAAACCATCTTTTATAACAAACAATAGCGTGGCTCGTAGTCGAGTGGTTGCCCGCATCGTTCTGTTGTGTTCTTGAGTAAGAGATTTTATTCCGCTTGTTTTCCACTCTATCCATATGGATCAACATTCCTATCCGCTTGTGCCTTTGAAACCGGAGTGCACGGCAACAATTTTTCTGTACAGCAGAATATCGTCGACTTACCCGACAGTATAACATCAGACGCTAATTCCATTCTTCAACTACAGACACAACAAATTATGCTGGTTTGATATGTCTCAATAAATACTCTTTTGCTACTAACAAGCGATAAACTTCTCATGCCAATAAAGATGCTGAAACAGAAATTGGGGGTGCAAGGGAAAATATCAGAACAGTTTTAAGCCTAACTTAGATCAACTAGCACATTCAAAACTTGAAAATAGATTATTTATAAACTTAAAAACAAATAACTTCCCTTAGAAACGTCTTGATCGAAGTTAAACCCTACAATAGCCGCATTATACATGTATATGGTTTACCAAAAGAACATAAACCGGATATGCCACTAAGAACCATAGTCTCAGCATATGGCAGTGTCACTCTGTCTGTCTTTGCTTATGCATACAGTTTTAGTACCGTTACTAAATTACAAGATCTGCTATCTCAAATCAAGAATGAATCTCACAGACGAAGACAACAATACTCTTTACACTAAATGTTATAGCTCTGTATACCCATCTTTTCGGACAGAAGATGACAATGTGTGATTTCATATCGGATCACAAACATAATTTGGAGATGGACAGGCTGTCAGTTGACATCTTACAGGATTATGGAATCTTGATTCTTTAATCAAATTTCTAGATTTTTTTCAATTCCACAGACATCAACATCCAATTCACCTTTAATCATTCGAACGACAAGAGGAGTATGGATTTTCCTGATGTTACCTCGATAATCAATTATGACAGTAATATACAATCTACCTCGTTTCACCTTCCAACGAATAAAAAAACATATTTTTCTTCTTTTCAACTCCCATCACCCAAAAAACTTCCAAGAAAGGTGCAATTATTGGTGAGTTTAAAATAATCGATTAGAACTGCAGTGCTATAAAAGCATTACACGTTCTAAACTAAAATCACTCCTTTTGAACTGCAGTGCTATAAAAGCATTACACGTTCTGAACTAAAATCACTCCTTTTGAACTGCAGTGCTATAAAAGCATTACACGTTCTAAACTAAAATCACTCCTTTTGAATTAACCAATACCCACATCATCCCTTAAACATGAAAAAATAAACAGAGAGAGAAACCAAGAGGGAAAATAAATTACAAAAGATACCAGAAACTGTTTTACTTTTACAGTACCTCTAATTAACGGAACTATCTCCAATAAAATAGAAAACATAACCAAGAAATTTGAACTGCGTGTTAAGATTACAAAACGACCAGGTCAAACTCTCAAATATCAACTTATAAATTTTCAGTACACTGTAACAAAACCGTCTTATAAAAACGTGTTTACAATCTAAAGACCCGTGTCATACTTCCAGTGTTGTTTAACAACTTACAAGTAACATCTGCCATCATATGTGCATTGGTGAAACCGGAAAAAAACCACACAAAAGCGTGGATGTAGTTAGAACGGTTTAATTTTTAGTAGAACGCTCCTAAAGAAGCTGTAAAGGGAAACGTTGAGCATCCAATTAAATAAAAAAAATGAAAAATTAGTGTTGTAAGGTCGTTTATTTCTAGAATTAACAATTAATCTTAACAATAATTGCTTTGTGATTTTAAGACAATCCAGATAACTTTAATTTTAGCACCAATTCCAATAATGAGTTCTAGTGTTTTTTTTTAAACCAATTCCGACCGTTCATTCTGTCATGACCATGTTAAATCCAAGGAAGTTCACAGCATCATCAACTGATTGTAGTAAAATCTCGGTTTTAATCGGTTTCAGAACGGTTCAAAGATCTAACATCTTGACTAAAAGGTAAACTAATAACCTTTTAAATATGTAACTTCAGAAAAAGAAAATTTAATTTGAAATTACAAATTTCATATTAACTCTGAAGTTTTAGGAAACTGAGATTCCACACGACTACTCAGGCCTTTTTTAAAGCAGAAATATCTGGTGGGCCAGGCCGATGAAAAAGCACCGTCTATATTGCATTCAATAAGCATCATCCCTGACCCAAAATGTGGTCAGGGCACCCCGACCTCTTAGAATAATGAATGGGGTTACCTGCCAGATTAATACTGGTTAAGAAAAGTCACGCCATGATAAGGCCAATTTCTTTGCAAACAGTTTGGGCCCACAATGCTATTCCTTAAGCCATACTATCGGGCCAAAATTTAGGGCTGGTGGTCAGAATAGTCCACTACTAAGTATATCAGAAAAAGGCCTGCTTCTACTCTTTAAATTGAGCAGAAAGCATTAAGTAGGACTCCGCCAACTCTAAAACAAGACTATAAGCTCCAACTTCTCATTTTCTCAGCTTTACTGAAAAACAAAAATTAAACACAATGCTCTTAGTATAGGCATTCTTCTCTTCCCCCTTCTCTATTCCCGCGAAAACGGGAAGGATCGGAGAAATATCTATACAGGAACCTAGAAATGTTGTATACGATTGTTTGCTACGGTGTGCAAGATGTAACATAATGAAGAGAATTACAGTGTATAAAATGTCAGTATAGATGCCAGTGGGAAAAAAAAGTGACCGACTTTTGCAAATTGTCAAAAGATCCAGAAATTTCCCAAGTTATTATATGAAGGTGTTATGTTGGAACATGGAGTGTTAACCAGACTTTCTAAGAACGATGTCTCTTGGAACTACTCCCTCTATCGTCGATATCGCTTATTCTGATGGACATGAAGATGCACTATTTCTATCGTAAAAAAGAGAAGGTCAGGTCAATCTAAGATCACACATCTTAACAAACTTACCACAGATACTACACTTTACGCAGACGTCGGCTTCCACGTTCATGTGTAGCAGTCAGGTGAATTTACGGTTTTGTTGGAGGATATACAAATGCTGCTGTTGGCGTAGTATGTACGACTTGACGTAATCACAGTTTCTAGACGCCCTGACGACTCAATGCGGGAATTGTAATCTCATAATTTGTGTCAATACGTTTTTTGTTGTTATTTCTATAATACCTAGATTTCCTTGATTTACTATGCCCTGCGTAAAGTTTGAATTTCCCATTATTTGAGAAACCTGCGGCAAACCATGTATTGAAAATGTTGTTGTTGTTGTTTATGTGGTTTCACATCCGCATATGGGTGTGGTGATCCTCCTTTTGTCTGCGCTATTTCACGATGTTCGAGATGGTGTTGTAGATAATCGCCTTTGTCCCGGGTTGTGCAACTTATTGTTATACAAATACCCTTCCTCTGAATGGGCTTTGACAAAACTCCAGTCATAAGCGTATTCGGGGCGGCATTGCGCTGTCGAATAGTCAGGAATTCGTTATGAACAAAATGTATAGGTGCTAAACATGACGTTATGCTATAACTCGCACCTGCAACAACACGCCATTATATTAACATATACAAACAGTTTTTATAAAGTATAAGTGACTACAAGTAGTGATTTGAAAATATTCTTACACTAAACTACTGTAAAGCATTTGTAAAACCAATTTATTAACAAACAGTCGAAGAAAACTCGGGGACAAAACATGGCAATGGTGCGACATAAGCTAAATCAAGTACATTAAAAACATAAAACAGAAACCACGTAGAACTAGCTGTTAGTTGTGCTAGAAACGTTGGTTCTAAGAAACAGTTAACAGGGCAAAACAATAGGCAATAAATGTACTAGGCAAGAATTCCTGAGGTGTACGAACAAACATTAAATATCAACATAGCAACCGGGAATAACAGACTAAATATATTCACATAAAACTGAACAAACGCAATTAATAATATTTAACGTTAAAGATAAAATTAATTTACAGTCTATAAAACAACGGCAATATGCAGGATATTTTGCTGACTACATAGTTTCCGAAATAACTGCACTAACAAAACTGATTTAGTTGCAATAATTCTCGGAATTTATAAAAAATATGTTGCATAATACTTTATACTGAAATGAATAGCATTGTAAAGAATACCAATCTATTTTATAATATTACAATAAATGATTTTTTTTTTTCGAATTAACTTGGCGAGTAATAACGATACGCCTGTTGACGCTACTAAATTAGGTTTAGTATGTAAGGTTCAGAGGCATCGCGCTCATGTCCTAATCATTTGTAAATTGATACGAGTTTTTATTTTAAGAATTCTGTGTAAAGATCTTATGGGTTTGTTGGATTTTTTTTTGGTTTTTTTTTGTATTTTATCTTTAAAA